CTTTTATTTCACTGGGTTTCACTCATGAAAAGAACAATCCATTTCTGCCAAATGAAGAAACCATTGCTGTTGGTTCCCAACTTCACCTGCTGAATAACAGCAGACATATTCACAAAGATTCCTGGTACCAAGTGACAGTTGTGCTTAATAATAATCAGATATAAATCATGTCTACCATGAATTTGTCTGGGACAATAAGATTGTTAAAATTTTGTTTTTCCTATTTAAAGAATATAACATCCCAATAAAGATGTAGTAAAGTGTAATAATAACTCCTGAGGTGAAAAATGAGGAGGAAAAAATGATCTCCGAAAGCTGAATGACATGAATCATTCACATTTAAGGTTTGTGGATATCTTCAGAAGTACCACTTCAAGGTCCATTGTGGAACATTTAGGAGGATCCAACCGCAGAAATGGAATATAATATTATAAGATATGCAAACAATGGTTATGTTGTTGTCACCTTGGAATGAGCTGTTTTTATCTACAGAGGGAGCTCATCCTCTTCTACAGAGATCGCCATGTTGAGCCACCATGTTTCTAGAGTAGCCCAGAACAGGCTGACTGTAGCCCTACACACTTGGAACTGTATTCAAATCGTTGCAATCCTCAACTTCACTGTTAGATGCCACTAAATCCTACACACTGGTCCTTTAACACTATACTACAAACATTTGCTGTGTGCCTTATAACCACAAGCACAATGTAAGAAATAGAAACAACTGGAATAGAAAATAACAAGCAATACATAAAAGAAAAAGAAAATATCTTATACAAAACAACTGCTATTGGTGGTGCTTGAGTTTTTAAAAAATAAATCTTTATGCTGGCTAGTTAAACGACACATTTTTTAGGTCTGACCGTACTTTCATACAATTTCTATAATTACTGTATATAAAGTATGACACCTTGCTAGAAATGTTTAGGTTAAGACATTAGAGTATGTTCAGATTGTTTGAAAATGATGCATCTACTTTAGAGATGCACAGTATTGAGGTTAATTAGAGGAAATGTAAGCAGAGAATTGACGTCACTATATGGACATGATATCTTTTGTTTGTAATTTAAGTTTTTACGTAACCCTTCAACCAAGAGGAACCATTTGCTGACTGAATGAACATAATACTAGATAATGAATCTGTTCAGACAGTTTGGGTTGCTTTAAGGTTAATAAATAAGCAATTATAATATTCCTTTATGTTTATAATATGGCATTATTTATTGTAGGATGTTATTGTAAGCAGATCTAATCAAATACAACTTCAAGTAATTTATAGAAAGATAAGATTACTACATGCAATGTCACTGAGAAGATGATAAATTATCACCACATCCTCCGTTTAGATTTCACATCACCTAAGTCTTTTGCATAAAGAACACTTGCACAGTGCACTTGAAGGAGCCATCACTGCACATACGACTCAGGGAGCTAACACCTCTGCAGACCTGGAGGAGCCAGAGTGTTACAGGCAGAAGTGATAGTGAAATTCTCCTGCAGACTAAAAAAGCATGTCTCTGAACTTTTGCCTTGCTAACAGACAATTGTCACCACAGACATTTTGACAGGTTTTAGTAGTAAAAGCACAGGTCTAAGAGTGACAATAACAAAAGTTACGTTGCACTGTTGTGTCTCATTAAGCCATGCCAGTGAGCCTGCCATGCACAATAACAAGGCCCTGGCACTGGAACACCTAAATGGTATACAGTCATTATTAATGTTGTTAATTAACACCTTTTCCTGCCATGACATGTAAACACAACTGTTGTGAAAAAAGGTCTATTGTTGTTGGGCTTATGGCCCCCGAAAGCCTTGAACAGACCTTGACCTTTTTGGTGTTTACAATTACTGTATCAACACCTTCATTTTTTACCATATAGTTAGAAGCTTGTTGTTTGTGTCAAGGTTAGATTATTAACCAGGCAAACTTCCCTCTGCTCCAGATCCCTCAGAGACCCTAGATCCTAGAAGGTTTTGGGCAAATTTCAAATATAAGCAAAATCTAGTTCATGTTGTACACACATGGGTCATATTCTTTAAAGAAATCCTATAACTGCAGCTGAATTGACACATACAAAAACCTGAAGCCAGGTAATGTTATTCCAGCACAGTACCTGCCTTGTCTACCTCTTATTACCCTTATTATTATTATTATGCCTTAGGAAGAGCAGCTTTTATGCAAGCCCGTGCCTTGGAATATGCATGTGGAATTCCTGTTAGTGCCTTAGGAGCAGCAGCCATAATTCCTGCTTGCGTCAAGTATGACACAGTTGTTGTTCCTGCTACCTGTGGAAAATTACCACCACACATTCTTGTTTGAATGTAAGGGAAAACTACAATTCCTAAAAAAATAGCAACTGTTAAAAGATATTTGTTTTCCATCAACTCTGGGATCTTAATTAAAAGTTGTCCAAAACGCTCAAGAGCAGGAAGGTTAGGTCTTTTTGGGGGCCAAGGATGCTTAGGTCTCCTACGAGGCCTAAGAAGCCTCTCAGCCTCACGCATTAGTCGCATTCGTCTTCTTTCCTGACAAGCTGTTTGTTGGAAGGAAGCTGTGTAGTCTATGCTGAGAAGGGGTCGGGGCTACTGGCACAGGCTCCTCCAAGTCTCTTTTCTGTTGCGCGATTCTTTGTGGAAAGCCTTGACTGTTGGAACAAGGCTGTGTGGAAAGATGAGGCTCCAGAAAACGGCGCACTGACTTTGTGACATAAGTACCCACAAAATAACCAAGACAAAATACGACCATGTCTGTCTGAGAGTGTTTGTCCAAGTTATGAACAGGGATTAAATCTATGACTTAGGTTTCTGTCTTAACAGATAAACACTTTCTGTGTCTCTTAAAAAGGATTTTGAACAATTGGAATGTTGGAACCCATCAGGGGAACCGGAAGGGGGCGTGGCCAATGAGAGGCAAGGGCGGAGCTATTAGAATGCTCCATAGCAACAGTAACTAAGAGAGGGGCAATGTGAAGGAAATGTAAGATTTGCTATTTGTTTTGCAATTTGGCACCTTCAGTTTCAGAGTGCAATACCACTGTTGTAAATATGGACAGCTGTACACGTGCATTTCTTACGATTACATTGCTTATGATCAAAAACTATGAAGCCGACAACTTGCTAACACGCCCAAACATCAAGCAAGACACAAGACACAGCAAGCCAGCTACTATTACATATAGTCCAACAGCAAGAAGGCCAGCTTGTCGCCTGTTTTCACAAAGCTCTAGCCTACGACTAAAAACCAGTCCAAGATTTACTCCTTGTCCCGGCGACCTCTTGCTTGGCCACTTCTCTTCTTAGCTTCCTCCATCAATGTCCTCTTGGGTCTCTTCACCTCTGCCATCTATGTCCATAGTAGCTTCTGAGCCCGGTGACATTACCCGCTCACCCAGCTCTGGTTCTGGCACGACACCGGCGCCGCTCTCTCTCTAAGCATTGAGTATTATATTCTAGATATTAATATACTGCTGTATGTTAATCTTTGTTGTACTGTATGATTATTATGAGTATATTTTACAGAAAGGTCTGCTCTGAGGTCATTAGACTAATTTTAGACAAACTTGTTGCAGGTTTTTGTTTTCTTGCTTCATGGAATGTTTTAAGATGAGAACAGAAAACAGCTTTTTATTTCCATTATTAATGTCCAGAAAAAAAACAACATAAGACCATAATCAGCTCTAGATTGAATTGAATAATTTAATAAATCAAGAATGAAGGACATTCATCATTATACAAACACAAGGTTGTACAACAAAATGAATGTTTGCAGTCCCTTTGTGCTATACACAGAAAAAGGATAATTAATTTGTTGTAGCATAAAATAAATTAAAACAATATATATTAGCCTACAGTTATTTATATATATATATATATATATATATCTACATATACACACGTACACCCAGGAAATAATGTAAACAGCAGCAACAACATCCATCCATCCACTCGTGAATACAGAGTCCACCTCCTCTCCTCCTGAACTCTGTCAGAACGTGATCCGCCCATCAAGGGTCTAAGATGTTGAGGGAGCAGGTTTCTACAAAATGTGGGCACAGCGGTCTCGGATTTCTCATTATTTGGCCATGCTGAGTGTCATTTTCTCCAGACTGGACATTAACCAAGTCCAAACTGCAAGTCCAAGCTGGGCCAGCATGGGCTATTTATCCCGGCTCTCTTCCTCTCCTCTTGGGGCAACTGGGCTGGTCCCACTGATCTGGCTGGGTGGATCATCTCAAGGTCCACTGCTCTTTAACCCAAACCCCACGCTTCCTTTTCCAATGACTGTAGGCTATCTATAGGCTATTTCAGCAATAAAGTGAAAAACAGATTAATGAAAATTCAGGTTTGGACCTCGAAGGGGAAAAAGTCTGGGCTGTTGTAGAGTAATGGGGGTCCAAATGGCGCCCACTAGCAGCTTAATTCAGACACATTTTTATCAACCTACTGTGCCAAATTACCAAAGATGTCAGAACAAATTAAATGATCATTAAACTAAAAACATGAAATTGTGGATCACGTGTACGCCGGATAAGATTCTGAAACAATTAGTCTGATAACAGCTGGAGGGTTTCAGATCCTCTCTTTCAAACAAATTCACAAGAGGTCATATAAAGCACATCGCTCCAGCCCCCCCTACTGTACAGCACCTCACACTGTACATTTGATGCATTCAAACAAACTCCATTGTTTTCTGTTTTGGTTTTATTTGCAAACTGCCTTTGCATGTTGCCTAAATTGATTAAGAGCTGTTCATTGATTGATTGTCCCCCCCCCACTCCCCCCCCTCCACTATTGTTCTGCCATAAAACCACATGACCAGTGAGTGTTTTTGTTCAAATGGAATTAATAATACTGTATATGTATTACAGTTGGATGTCAGTAGTACAACAAGTTGAGTGAAACAGTGGTGTGCTGCTCCTTGGTGTGTATACGTGCTGGACATCGGCGCGTGAAGAAAAAAAAAACAGGAAATTGAATAAACCCAGTGACGTCATCGGCGAGCGCCTCTGCTGGCCTTCGAAATGGGCTCGACTCCTTAGCCTTGATTTCTTCAATTGTCCCTCTGCAGATCAACTTTATTTTTTATTTTATGAAGAAAAGCCTGTCCGCGATGACATTTGGAGGTACGTCTACGCAACGAGACAACGCAGACACACCTCCGAGGGGCATTCAGCGCGTTGCCATGTTATCTGTGAGCCGATGTGAGTCGAGCAGGACTAGAGTCAGTTCATGTAAGCTAGCTGTAGCTCTGTTAGCCACTGAGCTAACTAGCCGGAACCTCTGGGCTGTTGGCCAGAGATACATTATAGTGCTAACTGAGCGGCCTCATGTAACACTGGCTACTGTTTGAACTCTCTGTCCGCGTTTAGTGTTGGTGTACGAAGTGTCACGCTGTCACTTTCTCGTGGTTTCGAGAAAATGGTGAGTCCCAAGTTGCTAGCTAACTTTAGCCAAGTCAGCCACCAGCTAACGGTAAACAGTTAACGTTACTCTGAAGTGAAGTGTAGCGGTAATTGGAAGATATGTCTCACTTGTAAGTGCGTTTTTAAAGCATTGGTTTCCTATCTAGGGCAGTTCAGGGGTTCGTTTCAGGAAGCAGGTTTGTTGAGTGAAACCAGGAACCCACTCGAGTCTGGTTCATGGACTGATGTACCAAAGAAAAAGCTGCTCACTGTTTGATAAATGAGTTAACCTGTTTCTTGGGACACGCCCAAAACCTTAACTATGTGTGTAAAAAAAAAAAACACTAAGTGGATCCCTCACAGCTGTACTGGAGCAAATAACTGATTTAACTACAACAAATTACCAAGAGGTAATGGTGAGGGTGTGTGCTCCCTGTAGGCTCCAGTATTTGTAGGCAGTATTTCTGTGTAACTCATTTCTTGGAAGTCAATTTTTTTTTTTACTGCATTTTATAACAAAAAGCAAACTTGTGCTTGCTGCATGATGAATTTTGGTAATTCGGATCTTGGGGATGAAACATGTTGGAAAAGTCAATGGTGCTTGTACCTCCTGAAACCGACTGACCCGGTTGAGATGTTTAAACTCATTGTCTCCACCCAGATTTTGTTCAAGTTCACAGAACTTAATGTTAAATCCTAGTAATGATGCCAAAGTTTCCAAGTATACCGGATTTCTTTTACTGAGTTATTAATGCTTGAAACATCCAGAAAAATTCAATTTGATGAAATGGTGCAGCCAAAAAACTTTCAAATCTTTCACTCATTAAAATATTATGTGCAAATATTACAGTGCTTCAAAAAAGAGTTGGTCAAGCACATACAGACTACATATGATACTGTACTAAATAAGGTTTTCATGTGCAACTTTCAAGTCCCTTTAAAGTGAAATAAAAGGGAACCAATTGGATATAATGGGGATGTAAATCAAAGGTCTGATGGGCGACTTATGGGATAACACAAATTTGTTGCCTTTCATTTAATGCAATCATTGCACAGGCAATTTTTGTAATATGTAGTATTTTGAAATTTTGAAAGACAGCTTTCCACAATAAAATATGATTCTGTGTAACAAAATGGCTTTTTAGATTTTGAAAAGGCAGCAATAAATCACATAATGTCATTGTTCCCTGTATTGTCTAATGGTATATTTTTGTTGCTACAAATAAACTTGGTAACAACATTCTCTGCCATTTTCTGCTTGTACAGTGACATATGAGTGTGGCATTAATGCTTTCCATCTGTGGTTCAACATAACCTAATACAATCTGTTAATGACCATAAATGAAACTAAAGATTGAATTATTTTTTATTATTGAATTTTATTGTTTTCATCGAATTTGACATGTATATTAATCATTTTAGCACTGATTTTAAGAAGCAACATTCAACCTGTGAATATATTTGAATTGTGAGTATAAATCTTTGTTTTTTTGTGTTTTCTTTACCAGGTGAATTGGCAGGCGAGGTCAGCCAGGTGATTTCAGAACTGGTTCCTGTGCGGGCTGACTTGTTTGCAAGTTTCAGTTCCTTTGCAGTACAGTAAAGCTACTTGCTTGGTCAGAGGATTGCAATGAAACCAGCTCAGGAGCGCAACCAGGAGTGCCTGCCTCCTAAGAAGAGGGACCTCCCAGGTAGTAACAGCAGTGGAGCTGGAGCGACAGGGTTAGTTGGGGCTGGAGGAGGAGGAGGAGGAGGTGGTGGTGGTGGTGGTGGTGGTAGTAGTAGTGCTGGTGTTGGTGTTGGTGTTGGAGAAGATGAAGTGGTTTCCATCCAGAACTCTGCAGCCAACAGTGACACTCGTGGAGGGACCCCATCTGGAGACTGGCTGCGAGCTCAGCCAGGACTTCATTATGGAGTGGATAATTCTGATGGCATACCAGCGGTGCCTGTTGACCAGTACAGTATGCTCTACAAAGTGGCTCTTCCATCTGTTACCTACTCGCCTACCAGTCTTCACCCAGTGTTAAGCCACATCTCTCCAGCCTACACTGTACACTCACCTCTCCTGCAGCACCCAGGCCTTCCCTATCCTCCTCTTGGTTATGCCCAGATCCCTCATTCCTCCCTACAGTTTGTCAGTTCCCCTTATGCAGCGGTACCTTACGCTCTACCCCCTGGCTTTGTCCCGGGATCATTAATCTCTCCCTCAGGCACCATTCCTCAGCCCCACACTGTGTCCCACCTAGTTCCCTATTCATCTGTCATACAAGAAGGTGTTGTTTCCCCACCTCCCCAGGCCCAGGTGGCTGCTCATACCTTTGCCAAAGTTGCAGCATCCAGCGGTGTCCCGCTAATGCTGCCTTCAGAGCAAGCTGCCCAGCAGCACCTTGGTACTGTGGGAGTCCTGCCCACAACAGAGGTCAGCTCTCGAGGGATGCCGGTCTTCTACCACACTCAGGGCGCCAGGGCTGCCACTGCCACCAGAGACCCCCACAGTGTCCAGCAGGAGAATGAACCAGAAATGAATGGAGGCGATAAAGAGCAAGGAACTAGAGAGGTTGGACTAGACTTGGCCTACATTGGTAGAAATGCTCGTCTGCTGGTAGCGTCCAGTTCTGCAGCGCAGGAGCACAGCCATGACAGAGGCCTGCAGAACCGAAGGCTGGAAGAGAGGAGCTCACCAGGCCAGCGCAGCACCCCAGACAGCGACCTGGAGGTAAGACACATTGATCATCATTTAACGTGGCAAGCAGCAGCATGATCAAAAGGCAACATTTTTGTTACAATGCTCGCATTGATCAACGCATAAAATAGCATTTTAACATTTATATAGTCAGAAATACTAAAATAAAAAATAACACTAAAAATGAGCTATTCTACTACTAAATTAGTTTTTTGATAATTTATAGTTTTGTGTTAGAATCATTTCTTGGCTTTACACGATTACTCACAGAAGTCTGCTTTGAGTGTGCATGTAAATGCTGTTAGTATTCTGAGTAATCTGGCTTTACCTTTTGCTTACCGCAGTATGTTTAAGACCTAGTAGCATGTGTTAATTTTAGACTCATTGTGTGCTGAGGGTCTGTAGGTAAACGGGTAATCACTCACAGCCTGACAATTGCAATGCTGTACTACTATGCTATTTGTGGTTGCATGGAGATACTTAGTGAAGCCCTCAGTGCTTCTTTTGTGATAGTGTGCAGGGGAAGGAAGCATGTTGATGCCTTAATAAGTAAAATACTTACGGTCCTTTTGGTTTCTGCTGGCTGGCGTCATTAACAGCTAATCCTTCATTTGAATCAACCAAATAAGGGAAAAATGTTAAAAATACAAAATGAAAGCTATTGGCTGTAGCTGCAGACTGTCTTGTCTGAGGAAAATGTTGGAATGTACGGCATTTTAAGAGATTGTTCAAATGTATTTAGCTACTGAACCCCACAGATATTTCATACTTCCATACTGTAATTCAGGCTGCAGTGGGAAACATTTGGATGTCTTGTTAGAAATCGTGTCAAAAGCCACTATAGAATAGTTCTGTGTGTTTCTGCAAAATTAAAAGTTGTCTAATTAACACTTCATTCCTTTAATCAACTTCAAGGTGCAGCAGGTGGTTGGTCGTTTGGCTTCCTCTAGCCAAGGTGGTAGTGGAGTGCGCAAAGAGGTCTCCTTTGCTCCCTTGAACCTCTCTCAGGGCACCCAGAGAGCCAGAGATGTTCACGGAGAGAGCATGAGCGCACTATCTGGCCGGACTGCATACGCGGCCCAGCCTGTGAGTTACAGTGATCCCAGAGTGGCCGGTCTCCAGCAGCAGACAGGACAACCAGGCCATGCTGTCATGCTTGCCAATGGGCAACCAGTTCTTATTCCCCTGGAGTATCACCTGCAGCATCAGCCCCAACCACCACAGCAACACTACCCAGGACCGGCTAATGATGCCTCAGCCAGCCATGCCTCTGCCACCATGGCCTCCTCTAACTCAAGCTTTAAAGCCTCTGATTCTTCAGCCAGAGTGTGCCTCCCTGAAAGGCCGGAGCCGACCACTGCTCAGCAGCAGCTCCCCCAGCAGCACCCTGTCCAGCCTACAGCAGATGTGACTCAGGCCTTAGCTTCAAGCATCGCTCCTGCCCCGTCTCCCTGCAACCCGTCACACTTCATGAAGGGGGCCATTATCCAGCTCGCTACTGGGGAACTGAAGCGTGTGGAGGACCTGCAGACCCAGGACTTTGTGCGGAGTGCCGAGGTGAGTGGGGGGCTTAAGATCGACTCCAGCATGGTGGTGGACATTCGTGGCAGCCAGCAGAGACCTGGTCTTGTGTCGCTTCACTTTACTGTGGGGGAGCAACAGAGCAAAGTGACCATTGATGTGCCCCCGGAGCATCCCTTTTTTGTGTTCGGCCAGGGCTGGTCGTCTTGCAGCCCCGAACGCACAGCCCAGCTGTACGGCCTGGCCTGCCATCATCTGCAAATAGGAGACGTGTGTGTGTCTATCACCCTGCAGCAGCAGCTTCAGCCTCAGCAGCAGAAACTACCACAGCACCATCATTCACAACAGCAGCAACAACAACAACAGCAGCAGAACCTGTCCAGGACTTTGAGCAAAACCAACGCTACATCAGGACCTGCTCACCAGCTCATGGGGCCTCCTGCCCCTCAACAGTCACGGCCTCAGTCTCATTTGAGGCTAGACCGCATCCACAGAGAGAGACAGAGGGATGGAGAAAAAGATGTGGTTGATAAGGAGGAAGCCACACATTTTGGGGTTGTTGGGCACAATGAGTCCCCCATCAGACCAAGTAGGACCTCAGCAGAGCATCCAAGGAGCCAGAGCAGTTACCACTTGCACACAGAGGGCTCTGCTTTCGCCGGGGCAGGGATGGGAACAATGCAAACTGCGCTGGGTGCTTCTCAACGGCGCTGGTCCTCGCCTGGCCTCCAAAGATTCAATATGAAGGGAGATGAAGGGCCACGCCCTCAAATAAGCACCTCCGGCCATACAAGGCCCTCTTTCATCCCCCAGGAGGTCAAACTGTCCATTGAGGGGCGCTCTAATGCAGGGAAGTAGCATCACATTTGGTAGCAACTATAAAGGAGACTGCCACGAGTAAGAATGAGTCTGACGAGGAGAGAAAGAGGAAAAAAAAAAAGAGTGCGAATGTAGCCTCAGAATGTTTGAGATTTTGCACACCTAAAATATACAAAAGTAAAAGATCTTTGTCTATCTGGTGAAAAGTTTTGGTTTGGTTTGGTTGTCACTCAGCCAAAGGATACGAGCCTGTGGTTTCCCAGCCAGCTGAGGTCTGACCGGGACCTGACAAGCCGAGTAGAAACTATGTAGCTGATGAAATGCCTCTCATAGTCCTTACACACTGCATTTCTCTTACTCCCTCCCTCCTTTGTCTGCACTTCCTCATACCCATGCTTGGAGGTTACCATCGCATTCAGAACACTCTTGCTTCCTTTTTGACCAAACTGTCTCTTTGGAAGACCACAAACTACGAAGAATGAGTTTGTAGCACAGTGAAGCTACCAACTCTGCAGGTTCTGATGTAGTTAAAAGATCGCAGCCAGTGATCTTTTATCTCCTCCATTCCTAAGATCCTGTTTCCTTCAAAAGCATTTACCCAAAAAAGAGTGGAGCTGCTGACATCAGCAGCTCCTGTGGTGATGTTGGCACTGTTGATGCTAACTGTCAGTGTATGTTACATTATGCTTCTCCGGCAGGAGTCTAAAACCTCCTTTGTCAGCAGAGATACTTTTCTCGGTCTGCAAAGAACAGCATCTTCTCTCAGGCCAAGTGCGGCGCGTCCCGCTTGTCTTACAATCGAAATAGTGATAAATCAATCAGTCTGTTCGGCAATCAGTTTCTACTCCAAAAAAATTATAAATAAATCTGCTTTCATTACACACCATCATATGCCCTCTGATTGAGGATGAGGGCCCAACATGTGTGTGTGTTTGCATGAATGCCACAGATTGGAATAATGCTTTGTTCTCTATGGTAACTAGAGATATGTTGCATTCCAGTATCATCTGTGAGAATATCCATCACTTAACTTTTTCCCCTTTTTAGGAGAATAGTTTTCCCATCCAGAGCGATGCTCTCCCTCCTCCTCACTATACCTCAAAGCTTTCCCGACCAGACTGGTGACTTTTAATGCAATTTTAAAGAGCGTACTGGCTGGTCATCACCAAAGCCGCCTGTGGGAATGAACCAGAGAGACACATCGCCCTGTCGCATCACTGGCTGCACGCCACTTAAGCCTAAAAACCCCAGAAGAGCGGAAGGGCCTTGTAGTTACCCTCGGAGAGAAACCCAGTGTGCGATTGAGTCAGTGATGAGGTGTTGCTCTTCGCCCTCAACTCGAGTTGCTCAGTTACCAAATTAAAGCAATATTTCTTTTTACAGCACGCGGCAGTACCGCTCTCCCCCAGGAATTTTTTTTGTCGTGAGCTGTTTTCTATCTCTACACACGAGGTTGTGAGCTCTGACCCTCTTTTAATCCCGACATTTAAAGGTGATGCACTGTTTTGCTGTTAATTTTTATCGATGCTTCAGTATTTCTACACAAGCAAGGCATGCCTTTTGACAAATTTCTCAAATCGTTATTGATGAAACCGCTTCTCTTTGATATTTTTTATTTTATATGGATTTACTCAAGTGCATCTCCAAGAAAGGCTTGATTCTAATTAATTTGTGATCATTATCAAGTTATCTTCTGTTCTGTCTTTTGTTTGAACATATACAGTCCTTTGCTTTTGTACTAGGATATATTTTATCCAGTGGATCTTATGATTGTCTTGTGTTGCACATAGAAAATGTCACTCATTGACTTCACACTGACCTTGTTATTAGGAATCACAGTACAGTAGATGTTTTTTTTTGATTATTTTTTTTTTTAATGAAGGGAATATGTTTGAAGTATTGTTGTTGGTGTTTTGTGGTGAGAGAGGGAAAGGGAAAAAAAAAAAAACTGACTTGCATTTTTAACTCTGTTTACAAATTAGCCAAGATGAATGCTGCAGTTTCCTACGTCGGACAGATTTTTATCCTCGTCACTGATATCCAAAAATTCCGAAAAAGGGGTGAAATTGAAAATAAGTGCAATTAGACCACGCATAAAATCATTCAGAGGTTTATAATCAGACAGCATTCAACAGAGACATTCCCATCAAATGTAAATCAGACAGTACCAGCTTTATTTTATTTTTTTTTCAGTCATCGATCTTTCGACTTACCTCTGACAAAACATTTGATCACCTTTTGAATATTTCATGCATTGCCCATTATATTTCCTTTCATTGGCTCATGCGCTCAGACAGGAGGATCAGTTAGTTACATGGTTGTCAATTTTGTGTCTGACTAATGTGTTGGTGTTGTAGCCCAGACCCCGTTCTGTGTGTCTATCTGTCCTCTTCAACTCTCTTAACTCGAATAGAGCCCTTAACCGCCTCATGCAGCCTGACCCCCCTGTCAGCAGGTGGAGGGGCCATGAGAGAAGTATCAAACAGAGTCACCTGAACTGGGCCTAGTTAGACCCTCATCCTTTGGTACTGTCATTATGAGCAGTTTTTAAATGAAAGGGTCACATTTTCATTTTGTAAAGTCTGTCTGAAAACAGTTCTCACATGCCCATAAAGAGTTATTGGTCACTGTAATCATTCCTCCCGTCTAGACTGGCTGTGTAAAGATTCCTTCCTGATTCCAGTGTGAGATATATGGGACAAAATCAACAGTCATGTTTCTGTGCAGTAATGATGCACATCGAGCTTAAATGGGGCTTCAGAAAGTCGAGGTCAAATCAGGTGAGCATCTTCCAAAGTTTCAGTTATTGTTGTACACAATTAACGTTTTGTTACTGATCCTCTGCAGCAGCTCAGGAGGAATGCCGCTAAATGCACAAAGCAGCATCACATGGACCGGAGCAATGATTACAACCAGTAATAACTCGTACATAGAAGTTAGTATTGTATTAAAATAGGTTTGAATAAACTTGAATCTATCCCTCAAGATGCTTTGCAATGGGAGATTTAGTAAATAATTTTTTACTACAGTTAAGAACACATCTTACCATCAGAAAGCTCACCACATTGACTCATTTTTCATGCTGTAAGCAATATACATAATACCTAAAAACATTTCATGTAGTCTTGGTGTTTTCTATGCAGTAAACTCAGTATTGTACCCTTCATTGTCTTAAGTACAGCTCTCTGAAGCAGTAGGGCAGGTCGGCTGATGCAGTCATTTTACGCTGATGTCTGATAAAGATTTTTTGCTTTAAATGACCGTTTTATAGGAATACAAACCAGTATTTTGCTTTACTACTTTCTATTTTTTTGCTCAGTGGTCCCAATCTTCCTATGTATAGCACACCGTTGAGTCACAGCTAAACGTTTATCGTCTCCTCACGATGCCACAGTTGGAGCCAAATCACTCAAGACGAGTGTCCCTCAAATTTTCATTGCATTATTTTGGCAGCACGGCTGTCAGGCCACTTCAACATTTGTATTTTAGGTCAACATGCATTTGATGGGATTTACATGGTGCAAGCAGTGCCACCTGTGACTTTACCTCCTGTTAATTCTCACAGCAAGACCATCCTGTGCTACCATGAGCCTTTTTTGTTTTTTCGCCCTCTGCTCTGAGCAGTGTGTGCCATGTTAAAGCAGGAAAGCTCGACTGCAACCAAGATGTCCAATTAATCCTATTCACATCACTGATAGTCTGTTGCTGTAAGTAATTGCACTAAATGCCCTTCTTCACAGTGTTGTAAAATGAAAACTGTTGTTAAATTGAAGCGTTTCAAAATGTAAAAGCACACAGAATCATGGAGAAATGGCAGGTTGTGTGTTTCTGTAGATAGATGTGTTTTTCTGTATAGATAGCTTTGATGATGCTTGTCGATAATGCCTTAAATTCTGCTTTGTACAATGTGTGAAATTGAAATAATGGAATGATGCTTCTGGTAGACTTGGTGTTCCCATTTCAGGCTGTACAAGAGCAAATCAGAAATGTCGAGCCTTGGCACTCTGGTCATGCTTATGAGCGGGAAATTCCTATTTACATTTCTCAAAGGGTGACAGTGAATTCTCTTTGGGCCCCCGACGGTTCAACCAAGAAATCTGCAACTTTATGTTTGTGTTTTTTGTTCCTTTTTATTTTTTTTAATCATAATCTATTCCGTTAAATGTTTTAATACACACTTAATGCTCATACTTACCTTTTTAATTCTTGTGGAAGTAAATGGAAGCGCTTGTCTGCACTTTTTACGAGATGATGTTGAGTGTCAGCAACAGAGGGCAATCCATTAATTACACACACACACACACATAGACAAACACATACATCCATTGTTTTTTTGTTTTTTTTATTGTTGCACAAGATCAGTAGGTTTTTTTCTTTTTTCTTTTATCCTTTGAATTAATGGGTTGTGTTTGGCGTTTTGTGCTTTGGCCTCACTGTCTCTGGACAACACAAGGTCGGTTTAAATAAATTGAGACAGACAGGCTGCATAAATCAGATAGCTTTCCATTGGTGGTAATGTAATGGTTTATTATGTTTTGTGATGTTGGCAGTGGGGATTTCTTTACTGTGTGAACTACTTCCTGTTGTATGATCGAATATCGAGAGGTGAATTTTTAGGACGGTTTCGGTGTTGCTGATGTCGAATTAAATCAGGAGAATGAGAACGGTTTAAAGTTTTAAAGAAGTCTGTGTATTTTCAGATTTGACATTGTACTTTTTTTGGCACAAAGGTGACACTGCTTTTTATGTGACGTGTAACTTAAAAAGAAAACAAAAAACAGCATCTTTTTTTAAATGCCTAAATCTGCAAAATATATGCAATGATGTAAATGTAACATTCAATCCTCAAGTATAATCCAGGTTGTATGAACTTTGTATAGTGAGTTTTAATATCGTATGGCCGTACCAATATGTATTGATCTTTATCAGAAGCCTTAGAGTTGTCGACCGAAAGTGCTCCCTTAGAATACCCTACACCTACCTGACTTTAACAAAGCATTAATATCTCTATTTTGTTGCATCTTTATTTGTACCGTTTTTGAATAAAATAGATTTGTACTGTATATTTGTACCTCTCTGTGAACTACTTAGGGCGGTTTTTGTTTTTTTGTTTTGCTGTTTTAATTCTATGTACTTTAAGGACACAAAGATATTGTATTTTTATTGTTACAGCTAACTTGGAGACATTGCATTTATCATGTTTGTTAAGTAAACACAATATAATATATATATACAAATATAAATATAAACTATTATCCAACTTGTGTGCATGTGTTTCTTTAGTTGCATTTGTGTATTTATTTTAGTTGATCTTTTGTGGCATTAAGTTAATGGTGGAAGAAGTGAGATCTTTTACTGATGTGACTGTACCGTCAAAAGTTAATTTTACTTAATTAGAAGTTCAAAAGTGTAATCAGCAATGTGACCCTAACTACTTCATATGCAGTAGTAACCTGTAATGCTACATCTTACTTCACAAGTCGATCATAAATAAATAAAATGAGATTTTGAAATTGCACCACTTGAAATGTCACAAAACAGGATTTTCACATCATGTGATTTTCAAAGTAAAACATTTAAATGTTATAAATTCTGTGGTATTTAAATTTCAATAATAATATAAGTATAGGTATTCAGTTGCTTAAGTCTTTCATGTGTATGGCTACTATTTTTTATAATATGAGTATTAATTAAACATTTAGTGGAATAAAGATAAAGAACACAATTGAAATACTCCAGTACAAATACATCCCACACTGCCTCTGCAAGACCTCCAACAGACAAATGCCATAATTCTTCAATATTTTACATTTAAACTCCACTTGTTACACACACTGTAACCATTAAAAATAAATGTGTATTTGTGTGTATAAAACAAATGAGGATGGAAGTGACAAGGGGACGCTACCATTATAGTAAAGTCAATGTTTATTTCCACATTCTTTACCAGGTTTCATCACGGTCTGTACATCTGTTAATCCAGTAACAGAGGATGGCATCCCCAAAGTGCCACCCAGTCAGAATGCATTGAAATCGCAGCAAGCATGAATGTTCTCATTAGCAGTTTAGCTCATTCATTTGGCCTTGATCAGAGAGATTTGTTTTGTAAACATGGACATTGAGAGGAAATCCTGATAGAATTAATATAGAAAGGCCAACGTTTTTACCAACATTTTTCTTTTGATTAAACTGTATAAAAACAGGCAGGCATAAACTAACAGTAGAACACAAGCTCATATTGAACCATTCTAGGACAAGTGCAGTTTCACGACATGCAGTGCTTACCTAATCCATACTGAAAGTACTGCTCGTAAAGACCAACGTCACTTCAGAGTACTTCCTTTGCAATAGAATGTCAGACCACAGACGCCGCAGTTTTCTGTCGCATTAATCCACTGTAGGGCAAAGGGGATCACAGCAATTTCAAAGAGCAACCTCTGAGAATACCCAGTATTCATAGTCTGAGAGAAGAGAGGAATAAATGACACCTGAAGACTGAACACTGATCTGCCCTTGGTACAGTATGTCATGGATAGGATGGCAGTGAGACCCTGTTGCTTTGATGTGCTCAACTAGGAAGAGAAAACCGAATATCACCGAAGACAAAGTGTCTCTAGAAAAGTCACAACTGCCTAAAACTGTCATATGATAGATCTATAAATGATTCTTATGGACCAGGGTGTTGTTACTAGGCTCTGAGCCCTCTCACTGAGTTAAATTGCCTGAGAAGCTAAACTCTTTACATTGACGTCTGTTTAAATTAAAGTTGCATTCTGCATAGTTTCAGTGAAAAGTCAGTTAATTTCCTTTAGAATAAATAACACATCTGTTGCATAGAGGTTTGATGCACTCCTAGAAAAGCCTCTGAGGATGAAACAAAAAATCCCTATATTTTCTTTGTTAAATTTGCTGTAAGAAAACAGCAAGGTAGATCGACTCTCTGATCTAGGAGTGACTCAAACAGAACCAGTACTTGTCCTTGTTTCTGATATTCTTTGAAGAATATTTCAGAAACTGCTCATTTGACACTGTAAATGTTTGCATCTGGTGAAGTGAAGTCAAGAAGAACTGGAGGTAACCTTACAGGCAGGAACTTAAACAAGGGATATCCAAACATGGCCTTTAAACATTAAAACGATTTTATACCACCGACGGTAACAAAATAACCCAAACATTTCCACAAGAAAAATATATTCACATCATATTGCATAAATATGTGCTGGAATGAGGTTAATGAATATAGATTAATAAAATCTCTCTCCCAGTATGGGCTGTATGCATCATGAAACTAGCCCCAGTGCTCAGTAACGGATGGGGATGAAAAAAAAAAAAGACGTCTAAACAGGTTTTTAAAGTGAGGTCCTCTGTCAAATAATCAATAAATATCTTTCATTAATTATGCTGACAGGGGATACACATGAACCCAATTTAAGTGGCACAGGTTACATATACTGAAGGTACTGCAGCTTGTGGATGCTACAGAAATTGCATTATCTGTGTATGATCCTCTATATAAGAATAACCCTCTTTCATATGATGGAATTTACTCAAAAAGAGGAAAACATATGTGTATATGTGTAAATGTGTATATGTGTATATGCGGGCAGAATTCAAGTAATGTGACAAATTCTGTTGTCAACAAATAACATATTCTACGGTTTCATTGTGACCACTTACTGGAACATTTTAGCATAATATTCCTTAATGCGATGAGCCCAAAATATATAAGAGGTAACTAATGTATTGTACAGTACAATAACAGCAGCACAGACTGAACTTTTTTTATGAGCCAAAGAAAAGTTCTGTAACACAAAGTAAAAAAAGAAATGACATTGGCAAAATATTGGGAGTGTAGCAATGTAGGGAAAAGAAAAAAGATTCAGATATTGGCAAAGAGAATGTAAAGAGGCAAATGCATTAAGTTGTACAACTCAGGAGATTGGGGGGGGGATGTTGCTCAACACTGGGCGTGTTCAATAGGACACAATATTTGACAGGTTAAAACTAGTTTATCTGTTAAGAAGTGTTAAAATCAAACCTGGGAAATACACTTGGAACTGATTTGTTTGTAAATCAGCTGCTCCTGTGAATGTTTGTGTCCTATTAAAGTGCCTGAGTGATAAATGCAAACACAAATTGTGGAAAACAACCCGCATCCTCTGTAGTAGTGTACAGAACATATAGAGCTTTGGAAGCTTGGAGTTGGAAACGCAGAAAGCCACAAAACAGAGAGCGCGACCACGGCGCCAAGCTGAGGTAGTAGTTTGACTGAATATGAACTTCCCAGGGACCCACGGTGGCAGCTTGAAGAGAGAGGTGTAGCTACCGGTAAACCCGAGTCACTGGGCTGGCGGAGTGGACCAGAAAGGAGGGGGCTGTGGCTACAAAGTCCCCACTCCTGTCACTGAAGGTCCATGTGCAAAAAGATTTGTTTCTTTCCTCAAAGGAAGTATAACTGCTCCTACTAGAATGAACTGTGTTAAATCTGCTAGCCCACTGACGAACAGATAAATCTCTTTACAACATGCTTTTATGTCATCATCCATACAACATGAAACATTCTCAACCCTGTTCCCAAGGTTTTCTAGACTGTAATAAATTAGAAATTGAAGTAGTTTTTGCTGTATTTAACATAGCAGTTTGTGTGAAGCCATTGGACACAGAAGGCTGGAAGTAGAACCAGCTAGGAATGGTTCACTGTGACCCTTGCAGCCTGGTGGCAGAGTGCAGAGGTTAATGATGCTGCTAGAAGCCAATTGGTCCCTCCCCACAGTGGCCTGATCCAATTAGGGCAGCTTCATGAACAGTCCATTATCAATGGAAGGGACAGGCATTGGGCAGGGGAACTGGAAGAGACTCATGTCTGCTGTGAGGGCAGCCATCGCAGCAGGATCATGCTCTATCTGTGTCCTCAGAGCAGGGTCGATCTTCTCCAGCCGTCGTTTTATCCTCTTTGCCTCCCTCTCGCGGATCAGCCTGGCCTGCCTCTTCTCCGGTGTCTCGTTGGCCCTCTTCAAACGCATGGCCTCCCTGTCCCTCTGCAGCCTGCGCGCCCGCTGCTCATCCGATTCCTGCATCCTCTGCATCCGCTTGGCCTCGCGGTCCCGCAGCCTCCTCATTTCCCTCTCATCTTCCGTCTCGCACGCCCGCTTGTTCTTCTTGGCCGTTCGCTCGCGTTCTAGACGCTGCAAGCGGGCCTCCAAGGGTTCGTTCTTCCTACGCAGAGCCCATTTCCGCATCGGTGACTGGGCCTCCACTAGCTGCTGATAGGCCACGCAGCTGTTGCACACCAGCAGCACTCCGGCAGGATACACCGGCATAGGGCTCAGGATGTCGGGGATAGGAGGAAGGCTTGAGGAGGAGGAGTTAAGAGCATCGGGGATCGATGCGAGTGATGGCCCTTCAGAGAGGAGACTGTCGGGCAATGAGGGAAAGGAGGGCCCTTGGTCTGAACCTGTGCATGGTCCTGGGCCTGAGCATGGTCCAGATCCCGGGCCTGGGCCATGACACTGGCTCGATATGTGGCCTGGTCCCTGGCAGGTTCGATGGGCTTGACATAGGTTGGGGTTGAGGTCCGGTGCTTCACAGGGGTGAGGACCCTGACATGAACTGGGGCTTGGGCCTGGTCCATGGCAGGAGCAGCTACCAGGGCCTGGGCTGGTCATGGGGCTGCTGGAGAGGGAATGGGACATGGAACAGGGGTCCCTTCCACCAGAGAGATCTATCCTGCTTGTGTCGAGGACATCTCTAAGCTTCTCCCTGTGAAAAATATTAAAGAGCTGGTTTTATTTATGTCTAGATACTTTCTGAAGAAACACTAGACCCTTGAAACATTTTTCTCTTAACTTGACCTCCTGATTTCCACAGCTTTTTTCTCTCATTTCAGTAAGGTGTATTTTCCTTCAAAGTGCGCCTTAGTGAGGCACAGCTCTACATTTAGTTTCTCTAGTTTAGATTCATATTAATACCTCAGGACCCACATCTGGGCATCTCCTCATCTCCAAAATGTCTTTACGTTACAAGCCATATAGAACACATATGTTCTTTTCATCTCCAGAGCTAATGATCAAATCTTACTGACACACTAATTAAAGGAGTTGCACCTTGTGTGCTAGCGACTATCACCAGTCTGCATCAAAGGCTAAATACATCAGTTTGTTATATGATGGCTAAACTATTCAGCTTGCATAACAGTGACGTTACGAAGGGTACAACAGACATTTTGGTGGCAATTAACATTTGCCTTTCATTCATGTTAGC